TCTGCTTCAATCCTAGCAGTATCAAGTGAACCCTGTACATCAGAAGAAAATAAACTTAGCTGGTAGATGAATACAAAGGTCAGAGTAATATAAATTGAAATCACCAATGGAAAACAAAATTAATTCATTATCTACAGTAGATGAATTACAATTAGTAATGCATTGATGCATGTCAGAATGTTACCGACTACTTATGAGGGAAGTCTATTCCTTCTTCTTGTCGCATGTTGCATACACAGAAATGTTTTGAACAAATAAATTGAAGTATAAAAGAAAGATTAGTTGGTGGGTAGCTCAATGAGCTACATAGAGATCTACGATGTGAAATTCTAAGAATACATTGAATGATAATAATCATCATATCTCCAACATGCCACCAACTTTTATTATGTTTGAAGATTGATGATAATATAGCAAGAAGATGCATTAACCTTGATTATCTAAGGAAGAACGACAAACAATAGAAATGGGAAGAGTGAAATCAGCATTTGTTCCATTGGATGGAGAACTGAAGATTTTCAATATTGCATATAGATTCACATGGTTTGGGTGGTTTAACTGCAAAACTACTAGTTGTTGAACAACATTGGATAAAATTCAATTGTCAGAAGCCAGATTTACAAGGAGCAGAAATAGTGCAAGAACATTTTATTTAATAAAGAAGATTGAAGAAAAAGACAGCCCGGTGCAATAAAGCTCGCTATGTGCGAGAGCAGGGGAAGGGCTGGGTCGGACCACAAGAGTCTAATATATGCAGCCTACCCTGCAAGAGGCAATTTGCATGGAAGGAAATAAGAAATTGTTTTTATATTTTAACCTACATCTACCCCACTATTAACCAGTAACTCAACCCCCTCCCAGGAGTCAATTGTGGTCCTTTTCTTCCATTTACTCCATTTGTAACTTGATTTCTCAACCGCAAGGTAAGCGGAGAGAACTTTTCACTTGAACACTTAACCTGTCGAAAAAAATTTAGTGACTACCTTCAGAGCCACAAGCTGGTCTTCATCTTTAGCTCCACAGAATTCCTACAATTTCAAGAGCAATAGTCAATAATTGCAATGAAGAAATCAAGTAGTACAAGGAGTGGAAATGCTACCAATTATAAGGAAGATGTCAACACAGCAATTATTACTCAAAGGGTTTAAGTGTAACAGATCAACAGAAAAAGACCTCTAAATCACTGATAAAACCTTCAAGAGCACGATATGGAGAGTAAACAATTAGATCAAATCCTAGACTCTGCAAAATAAAGGTTAGAAAAAAGTTGATTAAAGCAAAGATATTTAAAGGAAAATGTTGAATGACATGACCTTCAAATAAAATCCATGCCTGGAAAACCAGCATCTCATTGTTGAGGATTACATGATGATCCTGTCCAATACCCTTCCCAAGCTCCTCAGCTGATACATGGTTTTCCTCTGCCTTGCAAGCTGCATATATGCAGGTTAACCTACAAAAAGAGGGGGAGGGGGAGCTAGTAAGCTATGTCTCTGTCAACTATCAACTACTGTATGCATCATATATGTGGAATCCAGATGACTTTGTTTATGTTTTTAAAATGCATTTCAACTTGAATTTGGAAAAAAAAGTAACTATTGTCCAATGACCAACCAAACAATGCATAAAGATAGGGGGAAACTAGTAAGTTTTTTTAAAATAAGAAAGCACAGAGAGGATAATAAGAAGCTTACATAATGTCTTTGGGGTGATGTTCCATCACGGACCATTGTAGATAAAACCTCTTAAAATAAATGAGAGCTGTCGCCTGCAAACAAGCATGAGAACTGTTTCACCTTCTCGTTGATCCATCATAGTGGCAGATCCAATAATTAAAACTTTATACCTGAATCTTACGTGGGAACTTAAAGGCATCACAGACGTCTTGAATTTTGAACTCGTAGAAAGCCTTTAGAAGTTGTTCTTCTTCAACCTTGAGTGGTTTAGGACGCTTTTCAGCTAACATGCCAACCAAAATAGCAATCAAAAGAATGATAACAATTATGATTATCTTAAAAGATTGAAGGAAGCAAACCAGAAACTTCATAGTTTCTCTAGTTTAACTTTGGTCTGAAAAACTACAATCTTACCATTATCTTTGGCGTCATTTTGGCTTTCAGCATATGAGAACGACCCATCAATATCAACTTCCATTCGCGTTGTTCCATACTTCACAACAGAATTAGCTATCAGTATTATTCGTACATCCACAAAGACTACAAATCAGACCTATGTTCTGGGCCATAAGAGTTTCAGGTAATGCTGCCTATAAAATCAGGCAAATTGTTGAAGCGTAGAGAAAGGTAACAAAATTGTTTGAAAAAAACATAAGGCCGGCATACAGAATTTCATACACCAAACACATAAAATGGAAAAGAAATTCTACTCTATCTAACTCTGTGGGGTAAGAATCGACACGTGGAAAGAAGAGTAGGTCAAAAGTGACTCGGCAGGGACAACACCAAATGCTATCCTCAGAACGTGACCGGTAAATGTAATCCTATCAATGAAAAATCCGGAGTCGAGATAGTGGAGCCAGAGTCATATCAGCAAAGCCATCTAGTTCCGAAAGTACGGGACTGGGCACCAGGTTGTGGACCCAACAAGATAAGGTCAAAATAAGTTTAGGGGTCCAGCTGTTGTGTTGCCGAAGAGTCCGAGATCTCTACCAGCTGTTGTGGAAAGAGCCGGTTCAATCTACGTTAGTCGATGGGGAAAGAGCCCAAGATCTCCGTCAGCCATTATGTAACTGAAGTAAATGTACAATTAGTGAACTTTATGAGGGTGAGAACCATGCAAGTTGCTCTCTAAGGTTAGCTATAAAGTCTTATATCTACTCGTTGTAAACCATCGGCTTTTACGCATTTTACTAACATTATACTCTTTCTTTGTGTTCTTAAGCTCTGAAGCTTCTATGATTTCATTGTTACGAATAATATCAATAAGATCAAGCTTACCAAATAACACCCCTAGCTACCAGCATCGGAACTCAGGTTCATTCTATTTACTTAACTTATCGTTTCATGTCTATAGCACATTTGTTATTCATAAAGCAAGTTACAGAATGCAAACCATGTGTTTTGGACATCTCAATAAACGTGCTTGAACCACGTCTTAAAGATAAACACTAACTACAACAGCAAAAGGTCAAAGAACACAATATTGCCTTCATCAAAACAATAACTAATAAGGTGAAAAGGGTATCTCGACAAAAGAAAACATATCCACAATCCCACAGAAAATGCAAAAAGCTAATTAAACAAAAAATGTTAAGAAAATGAGCTACAATACCTTCTCCAGTGCTTGTTTCGCTCTGTGATTAGCAACTTTATACTTATGTTTCTGTGCATACAGTATACCATTCGTAAACCCAAAAATTCAAATAAAAATGGGAAGACGAAAAGAAAATGATTTTCTCCAAGATTTTTGATGAACAATTGTAACTCACAATATCTTGGGGAGTAAAAATCCACTTGGTTCTATGAGTAGATGTCACAAAATCAGCCATGTCTTCTCTCTGCCAATTCTAATTTTCGTTTGGATGCGATTCCTTTTAAACTATGCCATGCCCCTGTGTTTCATCTCTATAAGATCTTCAAAAATAATGTATAAAAACTCCTAGATAGTGGTGTCAGAATAATTTTCAAATCGATTGAAACAATTAAATTTAACCTAGTCACTAAAATTTTAAAATAAGATCATAGATTTCAATGTATATATATATAATTGTATCAGAAAATTGAAAAAACATAATAGTAGATATACAGAAAAGCATCAGAGTAAAAGCTAAGGCAGAAAGATATTCTTCAAACAGCCAAATTAGTATTATTGACAAGTATTACAACCCAAAAAAAATATCTCACGCATTTCCCTTGCTAATAGCACAGGAAAATAGCTGTATTTTCAGCTTTTTATGGAGTAGTATCTAATTTTAAGACCAAATTAAACTTCCACCTCACGAAGGCGACAAGAAAGTACAGACCCATAAGACAACAAATTGGATATGTGCTTAATTTTAGGAAACAAATACAGAAAAATTCCAGTTAATCGGAGAACTTACCGCAGATTTTTCGCCGGTGAAACGATCGCCGGAGAGACCAGCAGAGGGTTAATATACCGGAAGGGCTTAAGGCTTTGTAATGGAAGAATTTAATAAGCACAGTGAAGTGCTCTGATTTATTCATGCCCGGTAAGCTATGCAAGTATAAAACATCTCGCGCAATCACGTTACTCCCTCTCCGTCATTTGATTTAGGTGAAATTTTTCGAATTATTTTTTATAATTTAGATTATTTGAACCTTTTGAAATAAAATATAAATAACTGAAAATTAGATTAAAAAATTAACATAAATTAAGAAAACTTTGACTACATATGAAAAGATACCTTGCAAAAAAGTTATTTGAATTTTGAGATTCTAATAATATCTCATAAATTGAATGGAATTTGAGTTGACTCACAAAATAAAATAAAATTGTTAAAAACATATTATTGTAATATTATACTACCCTCTATTGGACTAATGTAAAGTTACACAGTTCTTCTATCAAACATATTTTTGATAGAGTACTTTCTAGAGTTTCTCGCGTCTTATATATATTTTAAAAGAGTACAATCGAGGTATATTTTTGAGTTATCATATTTATTATAAATAATATTAGTTGATTTATATTTAACCCACTTTTGAATATGAGTTCCTTCTATGTTATCGTCATGTGACATGGGTGGCTAATAAGGATTCAGAATTTTATTAAGGGAGTTTGAAAAAAAAAAGATAACATCTAAGATTTGGACTTGAAACTTCTGGGTGAATTCTGAACCTTTCAACCACTAAGCCAACCATCTTTAGAAGGTTTAAAAAAGATATATAAACATAAAATTTCTTCAAAATACATTATATATACGATACAAGATTTTATCGAAGAGGTTTGGGTGAACTCTCAACTAGCTCAACTCCGCCCTTGGCTAATGGCCACTTAATGTTTCAAGGAAGGCACTCAAGTTAAACAACCATAATGATACTATCATCACCTTATTATCCTACCTAAGCCCAAGATCAAGGACCAATAACATAATTCTACGCACCAAAGCTTAGAGCGATGAATGCGAGAACTTTATTTTGTCAGGCCTAAAGTTAATACATGAATTAATTTATTTATTGACTAAGACATTATTAACACACCTAATTAAATATTAACCGTTACCTTTGAAAGGTTCTGCACTTGGCGCCATCAATCCGTCCCACTAGTAACAGTCGAAACATAACCATTTCTTCTTCTTCCCAAACAAAAAAAACAGGACATATTTTTTTTTTCGTTTAAGTTTGAAAATTAATCCAAAGCATGGGACTCCATAAAATTATTGCGATTACCATAATTATTTCCTTTCTCAGTAATACTGAATCAACTTGTCTTCCATTTTCATGTGATACATCCAATCCAGATACCATAAAATTTCAATTCTGTAATTCTTCATTGCCCGTCGATCAAAGAGTAGATGATCTCATTTTACGCCTGAATTTGGATGAGAAAATATCACAATTGGGTAACAGTGCACCAGCCATTCCGCGGCTTAATATCCCTGCTTACGAGTGGTGGTCGGAGGCGTTACATGGCCTATCGATGGAAGGATTAGGGGTGAAATTTAATGGAAGTATTAAAGCTGCAACTCAGTTCCCTCAGATCATTCTTACTGCTTCTACTTTTGATGAACATCTCTGGTATCGCATTGCTCAGGTATAAATTGATTCTCTCTTTTTACACTCTACTACAGTATGCTTTATTGACTCTGTGGTTGATTTTATAGGCAACGTTTAATCGGACACACAACATTAAGTAGAGAAGGGATAGAGGGTTTGTTTGTGTGCATATTTAAGTTTTTGAATCCCCTTGACATAATCTTTAGTTTGAGAGAATAGTTGTAAAAGTATCCCTGATGTAGAGTTGATCATTTGGTCCTTTCAGTATGTACCAAATCTGTCAAATCACTCATGTTAGGATCTTCTACATCTGAATATTCGAGTTCTGTCATCAAGCTTATGTTCTTCCTGTAGCATTCAGAACGAATGACTCTATGATATCTCGTTTATACTTCCACATTTTATGGTAAACTAAGATCCAACAGATAATCTCGTATGGCAAATACAGAAATTTGAATGAACACATCAATAGCTAGTATTAAAAGATGTTGTACTCTGTGTAGGCAATTTCAAGAGAGGCAAGAGCAGTGTACAATGCAGGTGAACTAAAGGGAATGACATTTTGGGCACCAAATGTGAACATATTAAGGGATCCAAGATGGGGAAGAGCACAAGAAACAGCTGGGGAAGATCCGATGATGGTAGGAAAATACGCAGTGGCTTATGTAAGAGGACTTCAGGGGGATAGTTTTGAAGGTGGGAAGCTCAAAGATGGGCATCTTCAAGCTTCAGCTTGCTGCAAGCACTTTGCTGCTCAAGATTTGGATTACTGGAATGGCCACCATCGTTTCACCTTCGATGCTCAAGTCAGTAACTAACCTGCTATCACATGTTAAATTACGTTTATTATTCAATTTCACCTTTTGTAGAGCAAAAAGATTGATATTGTTATCTAATACTACAATGTGTCAAACAGGTTACACCACAGGATATGGCAGATTCATTTCAACCACCATTCAAGACTTGTGTGGAAGAAGGAAAAGCTACCAGTCTAATGTGTGCTTATAGTCGTCTCAATGGGGTCTCAAACTGCGCTAACCATGATCTCCTGACCACAACTGCTCGCGGACAGTGGGGTTTCAACGGGTAAAATTTTGATGTAAATTAAGAAACAAATGTCTGATACCAAGTTATTACTCCTTATAAGAAGTGATTTCAGCAATCTTAAAACTAACTATTTGTCTATTTGCTGAAAAGTTACATTGTATCAGATTGTGATGCAATTCGCGTTATGCGTGATTCCCATGGATACACAGCTGAAGATGCAGTTGCAGCTTCTCTCAAAGCTGGTAAGTAGTACTATATTCAGTTTCTATGCTCTCACTTTTGTATAAACTCAATGCTGTCTTTCCTGTTACTGAAAGACATCATTGACATAAAGTTCTATTTGTCTCAATTATCTGACCTTTTCCTTGTCACTTGCAATTTAGGTATGGATGTAAACTGCGGTTCATTCGTGGCAAACTACACAAGATTAGCATTGGAGAAGCAGAAATTACAAGATTCTGATATAGACAGAGCTCTTCGCAATATTTTCTCCATTAGAATGAGGTTAGGACTATTCAATGGTGATCCAAAACAGCTGGAATACGGAGACATTTCTCCTGCAGAGATTTGTAGTCAAGAGCATCAAGATCTGTCCCTTGAAGCAGCAAAAAATGGCATTGTCCTTCTGAAGAATTCTGCCAAACTCCTTCCACTTTCTAAGATAAAAATAACATCCCTTGCTATAATAGGTCCAAAAGCAAACGATTCCGAATTACTTTTAGGTAACTATGCAGGCATTCCCTGCAAAAAAAATTCGTTACTCCAAGGATTTCAAGGCCTTGTGAAAAACATAGGCTACCATCCAGGCTGCAATTTTGTCAATTGTACTTCTGCTGCAATAGATGAAGCAGTAGATGTTGCTAAAAAGGCTCAGTATGTTGTTTTAATAATGGGATTAGACCAGCAAGTGGAGAGGGAGAACTGGGATCGCGTAGATTTAGGACTACCTGGACAACAAGAGATTCTTATTAACGCAGTAGCCGAGGCTGCTGTAGAACCTGTTATACTAGTGTTAGTTAGTGGAGGTCCTATTGATATTTCTTTTGCCAAGAACCACCCGAAAATCGGAGGCATCTTGTGGATTGGTTATCCTGGAGAAGGTGGAGCAGCTGCACTAACACAGATTCTTTTTGGTGAACATAATCCAGGTTAACTTAACTACAACATCAATAATCTTTAGTACTTAATCCATTTTGACGAAAAACTTGCTTAATATGCTAATCACATTTAACCTTACAGGGGGCAGGTTACCAGTAACATGGTATCCTAAGGACTTCATAAAAGTACCAATGACAGACATGAACATGAGGCCTAATTCATCGACTGGATATCCAGGTCGAACTTACAAATTCTACAAAGGGCCAAAAGTCTATGGATTTGGCTATGGTCTTAGCTACACAAATTATACATACGACATCGCGTCTGTCACTCATGACAAACTCTATTTCATTAACCAAACATCATCAGACAAGAGAAGAAAACACGGTTCACATATTCATAATATTGCAGTTTCGAAATTTGGCTCAGAGGTTTGCAACAACGCGAAGATATCAGTTAAGGTTGTGGTGAGAAACAAGGGGAAAATAGGTGGTATACATCCTGTGTTGTTGTTTGTTAGGCATTCTAAAGTGAAGAATGATGAAGTTCCAAGAAAGCAGTTGATTGGATTCAAAAGTGTGCATTTAGGTGCAAGAGAAAAAAGTAAGATTAAGTTTATTGTGAGCCCTTGTCAACACTTTAGCAGGGCTAATAAGCACGGTATATCAGTAATTGATGAAGGCAAATATTATCTTGTTGTGGGAGATAAGAAATATCCTGTTACTGTTTCTATATGAAACCTTTAAATCACATATAAAAATATAGTCCTTAATGATTAGATCACACTTGTGGTGTGCATTATAATCCTGTAAAGAGGATTCATCACCTTATTGAGCAGAATAAATATGTTAATTTCTTGATTTTTATAGTTGTTGATTAGCTGGGTAATTGAGAGGTGCGAATGTGAAATGAATAGTTGTTTTCGTAATGAATTGACTTAACGGGTTGAGTCCAGACTGCCCAGTTCTTAAATGTGTCGATTTAGATTAATAGACTGGTTTTTCCTATTTTTCATCTGCTTGATAATCGATCCAATTTCTTATAGTTAAATGAACTATATTATTTTAGTAAAAGTAATTGAAAGCAATTAGCTCGGTAATTGAGAGGTGCGAATGTGAAATGAATAGTTGTTTTCGTAATGAATTGACTTAACGGGTTGAGTCCAGACTGCCCCGCTCTTAAATGTGTCGATTTAGATTAATAAACTGATTTTTCCTATTTTTCATCTGCTTGATCAATCGATCCAATTTCTTATAGTTATTAAATGAACTATATTATTTTAGTAAAAGTAATTGAAAGCATATATTAAAATTATATAATCTTTAAATTCAGACTTAGTGTTATTTAATGTATCTTCAATTATTTGAATTTGGTGCTCTAAATTATCTAACATGATTTTGAATGTAAAATTAACGATATTTCAATTACCTAGTAGCTTTCACAAATTACAATTACTCGAGGCTATATTACAATGTTAGGCATACTTCATGATGGAGTGGAGAGTGATTAAAGTATGGACTATTATATTTTTCGTTTTATGATTAATGGTCAAGTAAAAATGTTTTATATTGACTTCTTTTCAATGTTTTATTACTGTTATTGTTATTATTTTGAAGAAAATTTTTATGTGCCACGAGTGATCAACTTCTTTTTTTTTGTTGTTGAGATATATAATATACTTTTAGAAATTCCCTTTTAATAAGTGTTATTAAAAACCAAAGGCACAAACACAACATTCTAGGCAAAAGAGCAAAATGAGAAGTGCCATTGCCTGTTTTTGAAAATAAATTGCATGGTACTAATATAGAATATAAAGTAATAATTATTAATATACACAGTGAAATTATAGATTTGTGTACGTGATATATACATAAAATGTTTTTTTTTGTTTAACATATTCATAAACAAGGCAATTATAAATGAAATGATTTAAGTTTGGGAATTCAGTAAATCTATAAAATTAATTTTATTTGCATATATACGGTTTATTAAATTTCATATATATATATATATATATATATATATATATATATATATATATATATATATATATATATATATATATATATATATACGGCGTACAAATGCTACTTCACCATGGAGATGAACCATCAATATCCAAAATAACGTTTCTTATTTCACTTTTGCTTAAACGCACTATAAATAATGATGCGGTTTTCATAGATAAATATGTTAGTACTTTTTCTGGTTTTCGTAGATAAATATGTTAGTACTTTTTCTAAAATCTACGTAAAACTTTCAATTTAGTTTGTACTTTTTCTAAAATCTACGTAAAACTTTCAATTTAGTTGCTTTATATCAAATTTCCATATGAATAGGTAACTTTTTGGTTACCTTATACATGTTAACGAATATAGGAAATAATTATACAAAAGTTTGATGAGATTGTTCACTCTGAAGTCCAAACAAAACTCGAATAGTATACCTAATTAATACGTAAAAGAATATTAACGATTTTCATTTGTTAGAATAAGTATAAAAAAAATTATAATTCATTTAGAATTTATTTATTTCTAATTTAAATTCATGATATTAATTATTTTATTTCATAAGAGTTCGATATAATCATTTTTTTTAGTCGACTCTCTTATTTTTTAATTTAGGAAAAAAGAATGCATAAAAGTCAAAAGACAAATGTTGACAGATATAAAAAAAAAGTGAAAGTATTAGTTATACTAAAAATTTTATTAACCAATTAAAAATTCAATTTCAATTTTTAAATTTAGAATAAAATGATTTCGAAACCAAACATTCCTTATTTGATTGGACTATTGGAAGAGTGAATCAGTTTGTGTTTCTATTGAATGGTCAGATATTTGCCATCTTAGAGAAAAATTTTAAAATGAGTAATAATCCATGGCGATAAATTGCTAGACAGATGTGACTATATAAGCCATTTCAAATTGAGGTCCATTCGTTTAAAAAGAGAAATCCTCTTTCGCTTAATAAGTTTGAATACTCGTTTAATGAGAAATTTAATAAATTCAAAAGGTATCAATTTTATGAAATTTAAATTTAAAAGCTGCAAGTTGATAATAGTAAAGATGAAGGTTGAAGTTAAAGATGGATCTAGAAAAGGATCTGTTTTAAGAGATGAAAAACAATCTGTTCAACTAGCTGATTTTGACAAACTCTGTCGCAGAGATCATACTCCTCGTATTTATGTAGACGATATCAATGATTCGATGATAAGGGATAAGGTTGTCATCAGAAATTTGGATGATGCAATATTGCTTTCTTACATGTCAATGAAATTCGGAAGATTCAAAGGTAGAGTTAGAATTTTAGATAAGAATACTAATTTATGCATGTAGACGATATCATCAATGATTCGATGACAAGGGATAAAGTTGTCATCAGAAATTTGGATGATGCAAATGAAATTCGGAAGATTCATGGGTAGAGTTAGGATTTTAGGTAAGAATACTGATTTAAAAAAATATGGTTGATATATTAAAATCACATCATATTAGAGTTAAATTGCGAATCCTTCACAATCTTTAATCGTTAAAACTTTTGAAACTTCCACGTATATTTTATTATCTTTTAACCTAAACCTTTTGAAACTTAAGATTGTTAAGGGAATGATTTAAAACACAAGATCGCTAAGAACACTTAACCTTTTGAAACTTTCACGAATATTTCACAATCTTACAACCTCAAAAAGCCTTAAATCTTTTCAAACTTGAGATTTCTAACAGAATGAATTATGATTTAAAACTTAACAGATTACTAAGAGAAATCATTTAAAACTTAAGAGAAAAGATTAAGAGAGGTTTAAAAAAAGTTTTGTATATTATTTAGTGAATATTTTGCAATTTGTTCGATGATTTACAAATGAGAGGCTTCTGTTCATACTACTTTTTAGGGACCTAAATGTAAATAATTATTTACTTTATAAGTCCTTATATATTTATACTTTAGTTCATATTTTAGATTTTTTTTTCATACTTTAGAGTATTTTAATGCATTTTGACAAATATGTTGTCTCTCTTGAGAATTTTCTACTAGTCTAGAAAATTTTAAGGCTTACTAAATATTTTTAAGGCATTTTAGAGTTTTCTAAGAAAAGATATAGGGAATCTAAAGTATCCCACTGACCTCTTTATAACTTTAGGTCCCTCTTATTTCTATGCCAAATTTAAACGATAAAGTGACGGATCATGACACATGACTAATATATTGATATCTCATAAAACTAAGTTTATAAGAATTTAATTTGTTATTTTGTATTCCAATTTTTTGATAGGTCATGATGTTTGGTGAAGCTTGCTAGCCCATTTCCTCTAATTTACCTTTTTGTGTTCTAGATTGCAATGAGACATACCTTGAGTAATTTTGTATGATTTAAAATTTGCATTTTAGAATATTGTATTGTCTTTCATTCTTTATAACTGCGGTGAGATCGCCGGGAGGAGATAACCAGAGCAGAACAAATATAATGATGGCGAAGTAAAATATTAATAAATGGGCAATTATAAAGAAAGAACTCAAGAACTACATTTACCAACTTCCATTAACAGTATCGATTCAAATATCACCGACTCCATTACTAGAAAATACCATTAATCCTCAGAGTCATTTCTTTAGAAGAATGTCTAAACAAATTAGCACACAAACTTCACAAATTTTGTTCACTAACCAATATATTAAATCAATTTTTTTTAAATGAACTGAATTTTTTCATTGACTAATTTTTCTACGTCTACTCTTATATATATAGTGATGTGACCTAACTCACCGTTGCTATGATCCACCCACAAAACATAGAAAGGTGGTCACTCAATGTTTTCCACTTCAAGCCTTTACTCCATTTACGGTTTGCAGCTTTAATAGTAGCAAAATTGACAAATTTCCTTAGTGAAAGAGAAGCCAAAAAGAATGAAAGTACAACAAAAATGTAATGCAACAGATGAGGTCATTATTCTCTTAACTAGGGCAAATATAGAAAAATATTAAGGAGTGTTTCCCTAGCTTTACTTATATGAGTTCTGAACTTCTGATTAATTTAATTTCATTCAATGAATTTTCTTTTCAAAAAAGTAGTAGATTTAATTTTCATATTTTTTTTAAACAAGTAAAATGTAGCAATATGAAGTAGACCTTGTCATTATTCTAGATAGCGATAATGCACAGGTACCTTCTTAATCTATGTCCGAAATTTCAGAGACACACATATATTATACTAAGGTCCTATTACCCCTGAACTTGTTTTATTAATAATTTTCTACCCCTTTTCCGCCTATATGGCTTTATCTTGTGGGCCCAATGCTGGTTGATTTTTTCTTTCAAACTAGTGTCACGTATGCCAAAAAGGGGTAGAAAATTACTTCTAAAATAAGTTCAGTAGCGTAATAGAACTTTACTATAATATAAGTGTGTCTCTAAAATTTCAGACATAAATTGAGAAGATAATTGTGCTTTTTCCCTTCTAGATAAAATAAAAGGAGCTCCACCATGTCCTAGGTTTATTTGAAAAAAAAAGACAGAGATGGCCGGAAACCAAAATTAGGATAAAATTAATTCATCTTCTTAATATAAATATTAAATATTTGAAAATTAATTAGTTGATATGATCCGTCTTTCCTCTCCTTCTTTTTCAACCGATAGTAAACAGTAAGTCGTAATTGTTCTACGATTATACTCCTTTTCATCTCTACTTTAATTTGTCACATTACATTTTTCGAAAGTTAAATTTAATTAATTTTTAAAATTAAATTAGATATTAATTTAATATTTTAAACAAAGTATTTAAATATTCAAAAACTATATGAAAGACCTATAAATTATATTTTTTTAACATATTATAACTAAAATACACATCTTTAAAATATTAGTCAAAATTATTATAATTTAACTCTAAAAAATAAAAATCATCAAAACTAAAAATGAACTGAGATAGTATTTATTGTGAAGCTTTGACGTCATAAGACATCAAGTGAACAAGTTGAATTGAATTTGAATAAGTCAAAATAAATTGAATTAATAAATAAACATATTATTCATCCATTCAAAAGATATTTACTTTGAAATAAATTGAGTTGAACTAATATATAACTCGGATAATGACCCAACTTACTTAATATTTACTGAGTTTTATTTGTTGATT